GAGAGAGAGAGAGAGAGGCGGAGGGGGGGTGGGGAGGGATGGAGTATGGATGGAGAGTAGTTACTACATCAAAGCTCATAAAACCCAAATTAGATTTACTTTACAGCATGTTTGCACAGAGGACATGCACAACATTTCAACCATGATAATGCAGATAACACCTTGCGATCTGTGACGCTTCCCAGCAACAGATAGAAACACTTCGGGTGTATATAAGGTGCTTGGAGTTCGTCATTAGCCTCAGGATAAACAGGTCCACATCCAAATTAATAGACATAGCCATCGAGCATTCCCAAGCACAAACCTTGGTTGATATCCTTGGCTGTGGGGTAGATCACTTACCAACCAAGTATTTAGGACTCCCGCTGTGCATTGACAAGCCAAGACAACAGTTGTGGGATCCCATTGTTTGAAAAATATGACCATATGTTGGCAGGGTGGAGGGATAGGTTACTCTTGAGGGCAGGCCATCTAATTCTCATCAAGGCCACACTCTCCACCATAGTTGTTGGGAGCGAAAGCGGGTCCGGGTCCGGGTCCGGGTGTGGGAGCCCGGGATCTGCACTTGGCTAAAGCTCCCTACCTTTGGAGCGCTTGGGAGCGTTACTCAGGGAGCGACCTAGGAGCAATCTCTCATATATGAATTACATGTATATGGGAGCACAGGGGAAGCACCCCCAAATGTGTGTGTGTGTGTGTGTGTGTATATACACATACACAACTTTGATTGTTGTCATTACTTTTCAAACACTTTTAAACATTTACTTTCATTACTTTCATTTAATGTCATTACTTTCAAACACTTTTAAATAGTATAAAATAAAAGCAATTGTCAATTGCGTAGGAACCATAAAAAGATATATAAGACATTTTATTTCAAAAAATTAATTCAAGAAATCTTAATAATTACAAAGCCATATAATTAGTATTCTTTATATTAAGGTACACTGGTTTAGTGGAATTAAATTAATGTTGTTGTTATTATTATAAGATTTCTCATGGACTATGCTACATATTTGAAATGAGTTCATGGACTGTATACTTATTAGCTTATACTAGTATTTTAAATAATAAAGTACATTGATATAGTTGATTTGAATTAATGTTGATAGTCAGATAGTATTATTAGAAGATTTCTCATGGGCAATGCTACATAATTGAAATGAGTACATGGACTATAAACTCATCAACATCAGTATTACTAAAAGATTTCTAATGGACTATGAACTCGTTACCATCAAGGGTAAGAAGCACATGCACACAGGCCTTAAAATTGACCTGTCATATTCAGAACGCGACCCATCTTTTGAGGAGTCGTGATCCCCCATCAATAGGGATCAAGGTCTTTGAAGTCAAGGATCGACATCCCTTTAGATTAGGAACCAAGATCCCAATAGGTACGGATCAAGATCCCCTTGTGCAAGGAAGCAAGTACCGCTCGGGCTTCGGCTCCTAGATCGCTGGATAGAGATTCCAAGACGGGAACACCACCCCTTCACTAAGATCCCCGCAACTATACTCTCCATTGTCCCCCATTTACCAAATGTCGCTTTTCCAGATCCCTATTTCAGTTGCTGCCCATCTAGAGCGAAAGATGTGAAACTTTCTGTGGTCGATTGAGAGTGACAACCACAAACTCCACCTCCTAGCATGGGATAGCATGGGATAAAGTCTGCTTACCTAAGAAACAGGGTGGACTAGGCATCTGAAGTTTCCTTTTAGGCAATAAATCCCTGCTTGGTAAGGGTTGGTGGCAATTTGCCACTCACTATGTTGCATGGATACAGGTACGTGTGTTGGTGTCCAACATTGTGAGTGGCAAATTGCCACTCACTATGTTGCATAGTGAGTGGCAATTTGTCACTCACTATGTTGCCATGAGCTTTGGCTTCTGTTGCTGACATAAAAACTAGTTGGCTGATCCTTAGATTATTTTAAAATTTCATCGACATTTTTGAACATCACATGCCTCTACTCAAAACAAAAAAGAAGATCAAGTCTCTGAAATGATGTAATTAATTGTCAATAAACAAGTAGAAGAATTGTCAATAAACAACTAGAAGAATCCAAAAAAATTTGAATCTGTCTGTGTCGATGTGTGTACGACACAGGTACAACAACCAAACAGAAGAATCCATTTAACATAGGCCACCCAGCACGATCATCTATTGAAGCAGGTTATATGCCTGAAATACCATATAGACCCTTTTTCTTGATTTCCAAGTGGACCCCCAAATGGAAGATCATCAGGGGTGTGGTGTTCGTTACCATCCTCTTGGGACCACTTACGGTTCAATACTCAGTTCAGAGTGAACTGGGGCACTATGGACGGACTTGTGGATTGGAAACTCTAACATGAGGGAAAGGTTCAACCATCTCTACCAGCTGACCAGGTATATGGACACTTGGGTTGAGGATCTCTTTGAACTATTTTTCTTTTTGAAAGTGTTAACTTTGTTGAAAGGGGCGGATCTCTTTGAACTATTGGGAGAAGAAAGGGTGTGGAGCCCAAACTTTGGAAGGCCCTTGCTCAACCATAAAGTTCTTTTATTCCTGTCCCTCCTTACCACCCTACAAGCTACATACCTACCCAGGGCATGTTTGATTATATCATTTGGATGCCCACACCATCTGGTAAGTTCTCGGTTTCATTCTACGATGCCAAGGTCCTTGTGCCACTACAACCATTCCCGTTTGTAGCTTCCCGTGCTTGGATTCCTGATATGCCCCTTAAACTCCAAGTTTTCTGCTGGCTTGTGATTCCTGAGAGGCCTCAGGATCGACCAGTTGAACAAAAGGGCCTTTCCTCTTCCTAATAGGTGCACCATGTGCAAAGCTGCAGAGGAAACCAATCAGCACAGATTTTTGCAATGTGAATGGGCTTCCCAAATCTGGGCTTTCCCACATCTGGGCCTATCTCCTCCACCTCTTCAAATGGCATTGGCTCACCCCTTGCTCCATCCCACAATTGTATTATTCCAAAGCTTCTAGTCATCCCCCCGCCTGCTGAGGGCCGGTCTCTTTGGAAAGTAGCAACAATAGTTTGGGCGATCTGGAAGGAAAGGAACCGGAGAATTTTCGTGTAGAGAAAACTCAATGGACAGGATCAAGGCTACAATAATGCCACGAACTAAAATTTTGGACACGTTGGTGCCAATAACTCTCCAAGAGTGGCTAGCCATTTTGGAAACCGTGCCCACCCACGTTCCTCTATCCTAACTTTGGCACCTCCCAAAACCTAGTGAAAGGTGGACTATGTGACCGCACAAGTCAATACCAATTAAAATTTTCTATTTTGTTCTTATTGTATTGCTACCCGAGCCACTTACAAAGTGTCCAAATACAATATAAGTCAAATAAATTGCCAAGAACTCTCACTTGCTTGCCATTAAAACAAAAAATACAGACTTGTAAATGAAAGATGCAATGGAATAAAAAGAGAATAAACCTAGAGAATACATTATACCTTGCCTCAAGTTACCCTTAAGGACTTCGTACACCCCACACCGAGTCTCCTCCACCAATGGCACACGACATCTTGGTTCAAGATCTCATCTCACAACTTGGGAAGCTTACGCAAAACCAACATAGAGCATAACATGGGATATCCCTTGACCAAGGCTCAACACATGAGCATAACGTCAAGACCTAGGGCTAGGCTACGTGGCTTGGGCGTGCCACCCCTTAGGGATAGGTTTCTTTCATAAACCCTAAACTTTAGAGAGAGAAGAAGATAAAAGTTTAGAGAGGGGCATGCCACCACTTTGAGGCTCAGAGAGAGAGAGAGTTGAGGTGTGTGGAGAATGAAGCCTCCATAGCTAGTTTATATAGAACAAAGCTAGGGTTTCTAGGGTTAGAGTTTTACCATTATTATGAGATTTAATCTTGACCTTTGATCTTGGAGACCTGTGGGATGAAGAGATCGCATCCATTCATTCCTTAGATCAGCCATCATGATTAAAGGAATAAGGTGGAATCATTATCCCTCAGTTTTCATAACTCCATTCCCATCAAATATTGTGTAGAGAAAGTAATAAATTTATTCTAATTAGTTTCTTACACTCTCCCTTTTGAAAGCAATCAAAATCTCTGCACAAAACACTTTCCTAAAAACTCAAAACAACCCATGGCTTAATTGCCATAATACAAAATACGAAAGTTTGGAGGAGGTGGGACACACGACCCATGGGTGGGCCATGAGGGCCCCACGCCCCATATATTGGTAGGCCCAATGAGCCCCAATGGGCCCCCAATAATTAAAATAATATTTTCAGATAATAAAATAATTTTATAAAGTCTCTAAATAATTTATGTTACTCTCTAATTAAAATAAATTCAGAAAATAGATTTTTCCTTATTTAAAAATATTTTCAATAAAATAAAATACCTAGAGAAGTTTAAAAAATCATTTTAATTATCTGAAATTAATTAAAACATATTTAAATATATCTAAGTAAATTTGATGGGAATTGGATCCATAGAGTTGGGATTGCAACAAATATATTGAGGACTCCATCCTCTTTAGAAACTGTATCTCACTGCACATTCTCAAACAGTCCCGACAGATCCCATGACCCACAGCCTCTCGCAGAGGTTCATAATTGGACTATCAAAGTCAGCCAATAAAATCAAGAGATACGATCCTAGACCATGGATTATAGGTCCCTCCCAGAGGACAAGCCAGCCCCATTTCAGCAGTATGCTCCATCAACACAGTTCAGTGCAGGGAGTCATCTCTTCTACACATGTACACGTCACACACCCTTATCCATAAAGGGGCGCTTCCTGGACGGCTATCTAGTGTACATGTCGTGCAATGGTAATGATGAGGATTTAGGTCATTGTCCTCTCAGGCCATCTATCACACACAACGGTCAAGTCCATGTCCCCTAGCCAACTGTCCTAGGCTCAACTCCGACCTTATCAAGGGATAACCCCACATAGAAAACCTTTATCTGTTGTGTTCACATTTGCTCAAGACTAAAGGTTTTTGGATATCATATTGAACCATAGCCAGTCAAAGCTCAGGTGTATCTAGGTATTCGAAATGCCTCACAGTCCAATGTGGACCACACTCCCACTGGAGCCAACATTTCACTATATGTTTCTCAATACATGCTCTCATAAGGCTTTTAAATAGCCACAAAACCTCAACACCTGGTTCTATCAAGCTCAATTTCGATGGTTGCTTCCTTGACAACCCAGGTCCAGGGGGTTTTTGTGGCCTTTTCAGAGATCACAGTGAAAACACGCTCCTATCCTACTTTGGGTTCATAGGCAACATGGATTCCACTACCACAGTGGCTATAGCCCTTTTAAAAGTGATCAAAAAGGTTAGCGTGGACTGGTTTCATTGTTTGGTAGTGAAAGGGGACTCCAAAAACATCATACCGTGGGCCAAGAGGGATTCCTCGTGACCCTGGTGACTCAACCACATTTTTTGACCAAATTTCAGACCTTTGCAGGCATATGCATATCTTATATCAACATACATGGCGCAAGGCGAACCACTTTGTTGATAGCTCACTAAAGCTGGAGTAGATACTCCAACCAGTGCACCACTTTGGCAGTAGATACTCCAACCAGCGCACCACTTTGGCAACTTTTTGAGCTCTTGTCCCTCTTTTCATTTTTTGGACAGCTATGTCCTTTCCATACACTGTATAGTACAGGGTTTATCACCCAGTTTTGTATAGGGTCAGTTAGAAAAACATATTTTGGAAGCTGTAACGAGTGCCCATCCCGTGGACTGCCTGATCTTTCTTATAATTCTTTCACATTCAATACAAGAAGTTAACATTTTTTCCAAATAAATCATTTTTACATTTCAACTATTTTTAGGGTAGAGTAAAGAAATAATAAATATATAACTTTTGTTAGCCAAAGGGCTAATGGAACAGTATTAGCACAACGGCTGACAATGAATTTAGGCATATCTAATCGCCAGCATGGTGGCATAGTATTTGAATTTAAATGTTTTTTTATGTAAATCCATTTAATCCTAAGTTTCAAAGGAAAGTCTGTCAAAAATAAATAAAAAGATAATGATTTAAAAATGACCAAAATACCCCTTCCCTTCTCAATGACAAGGTTGTGAGCATTTGGTCATTGTAAATTTTGCAAATTGGTTTTTTTATATTTTTTTTTTTTGTTTTGTCTTGATGAGGCGCACATGCCCTCAAATTTCAGGCAAAAAAAGATTTATCAAAAAATATGAAAACTCAAACAATGTCTATACACAATGCTGGTCGGTTCTATCAAGATTGAATTTGAGCCGCTGGGCTAATACTGCCTCGTTAGCACTTGGGCTAACAAAATCATTTTCACATGCATATTAATCACATAATATCTCAACTCCCAAATGGTAAAAATCACTACACTCACTTAACAAGCTAACATTCAAATACATAATTATTATAAAAGAAGCTAACCTCCGTATATTTCCCGTATCATCTCTTGTTGCTTCTCTGCAGTCTAACCTTCAGATAAAATTCAAATAATAAGTGAATTTGGAACAAAAGAAAAATTAGTATTAACAAATGGAGATTTTGAAAACCACAATACATAGTGAACAACACTGCTCGACAACATTTTTTGGTGACATAATAGATGAGCATGAGACTCATAAATGTCATACAAAACCAAGTGAAATTTGTGCCATCTAAACAAAGTCACTAGAATCAAATATTATGAACAAACAATAACATAAGAGATACAACTAAACATGGACTCCAACTTGTTGAGATGCCATGAAAGACGGACCTCACAATGGTCACAGCTTTTCTACAGCTTCACTATAAATACAAAGTTCTTGCCATTTGACAAATATTAAACCATCAAGGTTATTCCTCAAACATGCATATGCTTTACAAGAAAAATGAGAGAACAATGACAAACAATTCATCATCATCATCATTATCATCATCCGAGCCTTATCCAACTATTTGGATATGGTCACACGAACCTTGTTTCACCATTCCCAACAATGACAAACCAATTGGTTTTTGTTATAATTGTTTGGTAGCACAGAGAGGGAGCGGGAGTTATGCATGATTTCTTTGAATCCCTTCCCTTCCAAGGGTGCTGAAAATGACCTCATAAAATGCCGCCCAAGGAAATGGTAGGCATGTACTTTGAAGGCATCACCCAAAGCTGCAACCATTTGATCTTATATGTTGCGGGGGTGATCAATATGACAAAAGCTTAACTCAAGCCAAGGCTAAGCAGTTCCAATAGTGATTGACATATGGGGTTTCTTTGTGACCAGCCTCTTGGAGGATGATGCTTTGAATGTTATTATTAGGTGAGAATACCTAGCCCTTCGAGGTACTCGGAGACGTTAGGTAAACTCAAATTTTACATTCAAATTTCATGCCATTGCGAGTTGTTCCGAATTCAAATACCAGTCTTTCTCAAATCTCTTACACAACATTTTGCAAGATATAAAACGAATTTCTGTTGAATAACAATATAGGTTCAGTTACGACATCCTGTGGTGTGCAATATCCAATACAGTGAATGTATCACAAAATTCATGCTCCCCAACCTGCATGGCTTCTGCAAAATAGGCCAAACAAAGAAAAGAAGCAACAAAGATAAATGTGTTGGTGAAGGGAAGCATACCATATGATGATGGTAGAATTTGGTAAGGCGAGGTTTGCCCTGTGTATTCATCACCAACACGGCCTCAATCATGGTGGGCGGGCGGTGGACCACTCACTCACAACTAACTTTTCCTCCCCCTCCCTCAATTCAATCGGTGACTGATGATTTTCCTTCTTGAATTTGTAGGGTTTATGAAGAGGCCAGCTTCATTCTTCCCACCAAAACCAAAGCAGAAGCAGGAAATGAAAACAATGGGACCTGAGCGAGCGTCGTCTTACGCTATTTTTTGTTTGCTACACCAGAGTCGGGCGTGCGCCCCAAATTTTGTAACGAGAAATGATGGAAGCTGGAGTTTTATATCATATGGGATTTTACATCCATGGGGGAAAGGGTAGTTTTCTGCACATTTGTACGAAAGACCCTCAGATTTTACATCCGACGGTTTTGAAGTGTTTGAACTTTTATGTATGAAGAAGGATCACTTGAATTCGAAAGGACATGAGGAGGAATCCCTTGTATCGACGGGCACCCCCAAAAGCAAGAGGTTTATATAGTGCCGAGGCTCTAAACAATCAAATTAAAGCTCACCTCAAAAATTTCACATTTCTTGATACTATTTGAAGGTGCGTGTCACTTGGATTGTTTAGAGCCTTGGTGTGTGTTACTTTGATTGTTTAGCAACTCGGCTCTATAAAAACCGCACCCAAAAAAAAAAAAATTTACATTTTCCGATACTATTTGAAGGTGCGCTTTGCTTTGATTGTACTGCATCCCTAACAAAATAAAATCATACCCACAAATTAATTTAAGGGTGCGATTTGTACAAGGCCTCAATTTTAAATCATCAAAATAAGGCCTCCCTCTAAGATTATACTAAAAGATGTAATTTTGGTATAAAAACTTTGCAACGGCTTAGAAAATTATTTTTATCTCTAATTCTTGAAATTCAAAAAACTATTTTTATCTCTAATTCTTGAAATTTAAAGCTCTAAAAATGGTTCAAATCGAGTAGAGATCCATAAGCACTTACAACGCAGTGGGCTGTTTTAGAAGATTTTATTTTACAATTCTTAGATTTTAGGTGTAGGGTTACATTTGTTTTTATTGTAGAGATTTACAAGATAGAATAGGAAGTTTTCTATAATAAAATTAGAATGGTTAGTTTTGATGAGATAAGAATAAGTTAGGCTTGTCTTTGTATGAGTTAGGCTCGTCTTTGGATCGGCATTTTGAAATCAAATGGAAAGATATTCATAGAATATTAAATAGCTCATCTGGTTTTTTAATAAATTCTCTTCTTTTTTTTTCTATTCTTTTTTGGGGGTAGATGGAATTCAGACCCCTACGGTTTTAGAAATAGTCAGTAGTTTTTGAACGCATTAGTAAGAATAGAATCCAAGGCTTCACCCTTATCTCATTCAAATTTGTAGCTAATTTACAAAATAATCAACATGCCTCTTCTAGACAGATTTCTAAGTGGCACAGAAAATCTCCTCCCCATAACCAAACCCAATTCGGCCTCTCCCGCACGAATTCCATCACATTCTCTCTCTCATCAATTGCATCCTATCTGATAAATTCAATTTCACTCCCCCTAATATAGCATTTTTTCATGTGAAAGGCTACAGTCTTACCACCCATATTAATAATACAGCCAGGGGAATCAGTGTACGCGCGTGAGAAAGAGAGAGAGAGAGAGAGAGAGAGCCAATAGTAACACCATGTTTTCTTATTCGTTGCCTCAGCAAACGCATGATGAGAGTCAGCTCCATCAACAAAACATACAGTTCAAACCACAAAAATATAATAAAAACAAGGCTTCGCTGTTCCTGTCAAACAAAGGGCACACCATATCTGTATGCAGTCTCAAAACAATAAGGACCCTCCTTACTCAAATTGCTCAACGGTAGAGGCTCTCAGATCTCAAGTTCTCTGCTATTTCTGTTTCCCATCTATCACCATTCTCCAGAAGTTTCTCCTTGTCATACAACAACTCCTGCCACAAAAACAACGATGCCATGGCAAATTCACGAAATTATTTCCTCGAACGAAAGAGAAACCTCAAAGCTGAGGGAGAGAATAGAATAGAGTAGGGACCATATACCTCATGTGTCTCTGTGGCAAATTCAAAATTAGGGCCTTCAACAATAGCATCCACAGGACATGCCTCTTGGCATAACCCGCAATATATGCATTTAGTCATGTCTATGTCATATCTGCGCCAAGTAAACAATAATAAAGTACAGGGACCAAGAACAAAATTCAGTCAAAGAAGCTAAAAACAATACACAATTTGTTCAGATATTCAGTTTGGAGAAATAACAGAACTCGTGATTCTGACATATGCTCACCGTGTTGTTCGACGGCTACCATCTTCTCTCTCCTCAGCTTCAATAGTGATCGCTTGAGCAGGGCATATCTATCCAACAACAAGCCAAGAATCTTAGAATATTTTAGTCTACTCTTTTCATATCTTCTATCTATCCAACAAACAAGCCGAGGGTTTATTTTCTACTTTTGTTTGGTTTAGTACCCTTGGTAGATTGCTATGGTCAGAAACAGGTTTGGAGGTAGGGTTACTAAATTATTCTTATTTTTAATTTTTATTCAATTTTGAAGGATGTAAAATATTTTTTAATTTTAGGGTTTTTTAGTTTTTAGGGATTCTACAGTTTTTATTTTTTTATTTACTTCGTGAGTACTATTCACAATTACTGTTCATGAATACTGTTCACAGGTATCCATAAGGGTACAACCATCATTACGAATTTTAAATTTAAGTTAGGATATATGAGCCGATATACTATTTGTTTGGATATTTTTTGTATGTAGAATATTAAATTATAATATATAAAAGGTGTGTGAGGCCTTGAGGGGATCATTCCACATGATTTTTAGAAATTGAAAGATAAAAGCTTAGGCTTTTAGAAGCCTAGCTTCGAGTATGCAGAAGAAACCCGAAGTTTCTTTGAATTATGCTTGCGTTTGACTTTGTTTCTTGCTGATTTTATTGTTCCCTGAAATTTTCCTGCATCATTTACTCTACTATTTTATTGGTACAAAAAGGTGGATAAGATAACTGGTAGAGGGTTTCCTCTTTCTTGAGAGAAGATTTTGTTACTAATTATCATTGGGGGAGAAAGTGAAACGTTATCTTTGTCCTAGTTACAGGGATATACATTTATGGGATAAACTTAACTAAAATACAGTGGGGAAGCAATATAGAAGAGGGTTTTACTATCCAAATTTAATGGGACTAAATACAAGGTCAGGGCAGTGCATGTTGCACGCGCACAGTAATTTTCAGTTGTGTGGTAAGTGTACCCCCACGTAAACAAATCAAACAAAATGCATTAAGAATCAGCATCCATTTACTAACATCCCAGGTTGCATCCGAGTTAATCCACATGAAAAGGAAAAGAGATTCAACCCCCACCCCCCAAATTCACATATATTTCTTATCAGTTCCAATGTCAAGGATTCTTTCACTCTCAAATAGCTAACAAGTGCCATGAGTCAGCCTTCCTCATTTGATCCAATTCAAATCAGACAACAATACAAGATAATCTTTTTGGATTCTTCACTCTTAAATAGCTAACAGTGCCATGAGTCAGACTTCCTCATTTGATCCAATTTAAATCAGACAACAATACAGGATAATCTTTTTGGCAAAGTTTCTCAACAATGGAGATAGAAAAATACTATTTAATACTAATGTTGCTAGCAACCACCACAGCATTACAAGAAAAACATTATCAAGTTACAAGCTCGAATAGATTTCAACATAAAAATAAAACCATAAGATTTCCAATCATTTCAAATATCAAGGAACCTCAAGCTACAAATAAATGATAGATGAACTTACTGCTTCGCATAGCTTACAAGCAATGCAGCGCTCCTCTCCAGTTGGATAGCGACGAAGGGCGTGTTCCCCTCGAAATCGTGGACTCAACGGACCCTTCTCGAATGGGTAGTTAATCTGAAACCACAGATAAATGTCACAACCAACACTATCACATTCACAAAAAAAGAGAAACATAAAACTCAAAGAAAACTTATTAAAAGCCACAGTCAAAACATTATTCTGCCCTCCCCCAAAAAACAAAAAGAAAAAAAAAACTTACGGTAACTTTCCTATCAAAGAAATACTTGAGCGTCAGCATGAGACCCCGCACCAACTCCGTTAAAAAAAGTGTATTAATACTTCTCTCGAAAACTGCAACACAAACATAGGGCCATGAACTAGAAAATAAACAATTCAGAACCTATGAGAAGCATGAACTAGAAAATAAACAATTTAGAACCTATGAGAAGCATCCAATTAGAGATAACTACTACTAGATAGAAGTACATTAAATTCAGAATTTACCCAAACTCCAATCCTTGGATATCTCCTTTGCGAGCTTCTCTCTTTCCTCATCATCAATTAGATCTAAACAGAAAGCAATAAAAAGCAGATAAGAGAAGACTCACTCTTCTTGTAATAGACACAACAATACATCAATATGATGACCAAATAACGTCAAAGTGTAGCCACAATTCATCCTAAATGATGTGAATCATATCACATGAATATATATTGGATTTTATTTTAAGAGTGCTTCACTATAAAAGACGTCACTGAAGAAATATTGCTATTAGGACCACTTCTCTCACAACCGGGAGGCAAATGTTTGGAATCAACTAACCCAACCTCTATAGCAAATGAATTGCAAAAAGTAAATCCCCAAGAAAATCAAAACTACGGTGTTTGCTCCATCATAAGGAGATGATGCAGGACAGCTTAACTCAGGTCATCGTGCATGGGATAATTAATTTGCCAAATACTCAATTGCTTGGGAACCCCAGCTCTCTTGTTATCAAAGGGTGGGAATGTGCCTCCTTCAAGGGAATTGTCCAACAATTGATTGCTGACGGAAAGATCATAATATGGAAGAGGAACCCCAGTAAGTCATGGTCACCTTTGGAACATGAAGGATTCCTCATAAAAGTGGCTCGTCTGATGAAAATTGAGTGAAACATCAGGTCCTAGCAGCATGACGTAAAACTCCATAGCAAATCATACTTTTTGAATGATGCTAAACTGCATGGTATATTTGTCCATATTGCATGACCTTAAACTACTCATCATACCAGCCCTAGCAGCATGACATAAAACTGCATTGCATATCATCACTCCCTAGAACGTAATAAGGCTCATATCCCATGCTGGGCCACAATCCACCATTTCCCCAATTAAGTCCGCAATGCAGCCCCTCAAGGAATTCACACATTCAATCCCCAAGTGGAGTCCCGACACCAAATTCACCATGGATTCGCTGTGGTCAAGGACACATAACTATTAGTCATATGTTGTCCACGAAATATAATCTTAAATTATTTGTGCCATATATGGTCCTAGACTCCTAGTAGTACGACCCCAACTACATGAAATATATGCTTTGCCCTACACAGAGTAGGATGACCCGTCTTCACTCATTGTTCCACCATGAACACTAAGAATCTCCCCATTTGAGATATGACTCCCCAGAAAAGATGGCTACCCGTAGAACCACATCCTCATGAGCTCTGATCCCCTATGTTTTTGTCGACCATTGTTGTTGTTCAACTCCCAATGGAGAGAATGAGGAAGATGTTGCACATTGAATTTGAGCTGAGTGGGCGAAGTGGAGATGTACAACCAGACATTTATGTGATCGCCTCATACCAATGAAGTTGAAAGGGAAGTTCTATGGGACAGCTGTGAGACCAACTTTGCTTTATGGGGAGGAATGTTGGACGGTCAAGAAACATCAAACAACATACCTATAGGAGTGTAGCTGAGATGAGCATGTTGAGATGGATGAGTGGCAAGACAAGAAGGGATAGAATTCGAAATGAATACATTAGGGAGAACTTAAGTTTGGCTCCAATATGTGATAAGAGAACGTAGACTTTCGTGGGCTAGCCATGTGTACCGCAGACCCAATACAACACCTGTTAGGAGGTATGAGTTGGTTCAAGTGGAAGGCTAAAAAAGCAAGGGGTAGACCCAAAAGGACATAGTTGGAAGTAGTGAAAAAAGATACGGGGACTTATGGCCTCACTAAAGGTATGGTCCTTGATAGAGCAGAATGGCGGACCAGGTTTCATTTAGTCGACCCCAAATTGTTGGAAAAAGGCTTTGATGATGATGATGATTGCTGGTGTTCTGCCCAAGACAGAATGACCCGACAGTCTAGTGCATGTTCCAAGACAAATGCCCTTAATTTGTTTGTTGCACTACACATGGTCGTAGTCCAAAGACCATAAACTACAAGGTCCATATTGTCGCATATGAAGAAGCTAACTGATCAGTTTCCAGGCCAGTATCCAGATGGCACATTTTGAGGCACTGTATGGGAGGAAGTGCAGATCACCCATATTTTGGGATGAAGTCGATGAGAGGAGACTATTAGGACCAGAGATAACATCAGAAAAGATTGCTTTAATTTGAGAAATGCTCAAAACAGCTCAGAGTCGGCAGAAGAGTTATGTCGATAATCGGAGATGAGATCTCGAATTTGAAGTGGGTGATCGGGCCTTTTTGAAGGTATCGCCAACTAAGGGCATTATGATATTTGGCAAGAAGGGGAAACTGAGTCCACGATTTATTGGACCCTTTGAAATTTTAGAAAGAATTGGAGCCATGGCATATCGACTGGCCCTGCCGCCCGAGTTGGCCAACATTCATGATGTTTTTCATGTGTCACTATTGAAGAAGTATCACCCTGACCCGTCCCATATTTTGAAGTATGAACCGATCCCAATCAGGGAAGATTTGACTTATGTCGACCAACCAATTGAAATACTGGACAAGAGAGTGCAGGTTTTGCGTAATAAAGAAATTCCCTTGGTTCCGGTTTTATGGCAGTATCATTCATGAGAAGAATCGACATGAGAACGAGAGGATGAAATCCGGGATAAGTACCCCCATCTATTTGATTGACTAACGATTTTGAGGACAAAATCTTTTTAAGGGGGGGATGATATAAGGATCAAGATTTCCTAGCCATGGAAACACACACGACGGCAGGAGTCTGTTAGAGAAAAAAGAAGCACGCGCTGCAATAAGGGAGAAAGCTTACTGCTGTGCATGTCAGAGGAGTAATGGCGTCTGTGAAGAGAGAGAATGAGCAACACCGTCTGTGAAGAGAGAAGAGTAGAGTCACAAAAGTAACGTCGCGCGTCAAAAGGACAAGAAAGAGCCAGTGTCGTGAGTGCAAGAAGAAGAAGAAAACATGTGCGGATGTGAGATGAAACAAAACGAGCTACCGCCGTGCGTGTAGCACCGTGCATAAACAAGACTGCCACCTGCCCTGATGCATGCCGCCAATTGTACTGATGCATTGTGGTGCTTGCCGCTTGTCCAGCCTTGGACTGCCACCCCAGCCGGGATACTTAAGCTCTCTCCCTCCCTCTCTCACACCACTCGTTCCTCACACTCTCTATCTCTAAGAACTCAACACTTAGACCCCTTTGTGAGCTCACTGTCACTGCACTATTGGAGCCTTGTGAGGAGCTTGAAGGGGACTGTGACAAGGGATTTTGAGGGCAACCTTTCTCATTAAGTAAGTGGATCAACCACCATTGCACCAATGTTATGAGAAGGCTTGAAACTAAATATCTACAAGAATGAATGTATTTTAGCCATTTCTATGCCTTGTTTCACTTGAATGGTGCCTTTGTTATATGATGAACTTTGATGTTGAGAATGAATCTAATGCTTACAAAATTCTATAGAAATATATATATACATGTGCGTGTGTGTGTGTGTGTGTGTGTATTGAGATGGAACAACTATTATGATTTTATTCACTGAGAATTGAAAGTTATGACGCGTGTTCTTGAAGCCTGTTAAGTGTCACTGTGAAATTCTAGGAGCATATATGTTTTTGTAATAGGCTTTTGAACAGTCAAATGAGGTCCAAATGACCTCAAATCACTGCCACTAGAAAGATACGTGAGTGTCACGCTTCAAGAATTTACAATACTGATATTCCTGAGACGTGACAGTCAAAACATATATACATCTCTTTTTAGGACAAA